CTTCACCTGCTGTGGCTATCTTCAGCATCACCAGCCTCTGCAACGTGAGCCTCAGTGGCTGTGGCCCGAGGGAGCAGCTGCACTCCTCCGGTGGAGACTGAGGCCCCTGGCCCCCTTGCCCTGCTCCAGAGCTGACTGGCTGGTTCCCCGAGGCCGGGTTTCCAGTGCCTGCCTGAGATGGAATTACAGCCCCAAGCCTGCACCTGCAAAAGGTAGGACTGCCTCCTGGCTTGGCCAGGCAAAGACCAATTCAGATAGGGTGCTTGCTGTGTGTCCCCAGGGGCAGCAGGGGCTGTGGAAACCCCACATGGGGGTGGGGATCTGGGAAGCATCCCTGGAGGACAGGATGCCAGCACAGGGACCACAGGAGGAATAGGGAGGAGGAGGTAAAAGGAAGGGGAGGGGACAGGGAAATGAAGGATTGGACCCACACAGGTGGCCAGGGGTCAGATGATAAAGGGACCTGGGCTGGTGCAGGGTGCCGGGGTGGGAACGCAGGAGGGAGCCCAGTGCCACCCTCTGAGCTCAGGCTGGCTTTGGACAGCTGAGACTCGGAAACTGGGCCCACCTGGGTCTCTGGAAGGCTGGTGGCCCCCAGAGAGAGGGCTGGTGAGGGAGGGAGGCAAAGTGCCCCCTGACCATTGCCAGGTCAGGGCAAGGTCGGTGGTCAGGCTGAGCTGTTCCCAGACCCTCAGCGGACAGCCCTCTGGGGCTGCCCCGGCCAGGCCCTGGCTGCCGTCCCACCCTGGGCTGGCCTGGCCGTGCAGCTGCCCCTCAGGATTGGTGGCTCTGCTGGTCTTCCCTCTACTTCGGCTCCCTTCTCTTCCCACCCTTTCCCCTCTGTCGGCCAGGCCCTTGGCCCCCAGATGCTTCTCTAGCTCTCTGCTCCGCTGTTGGGCACCAGCCCCTCCCAGGGAACACAGCAGGTGTGGCCTGGCCTTGGTCCGGGAGGGAAGGTCTGGAATGCACAGCCCTGGTGTTGGGGCCTGAGGGTGCTGGTGGGCGCTGGGGCTCAGGAAGGAAGGGTGCTGGCAGTTGGTAGCGGCGCTTTGGAAGGACGGTTGGGGGTGAGTACTTGGAATGGAGATGGCGCGGCAGTTGGTGGTGGCAGCTGGAGTGGCAGTTGGGGCCTGGCAGGGGCGCGGGCCTGGAGGACAGTTGGGGTGGGGCAGCCGTGGGGCTGGCAGGTAGCCGCTGGCCCCGAGTGACTCTGGAGGGTGGTCTTGGGGAGGCCCTGCAGGAGAGCAGGGCCAGCTGGCGCAGACACAGGCCGAGGCAGGCCGGGGAGTCGGCTTGGGTGGTGCTCCGCTGCAGCCTGGGACCGCCTCAGTCCACCCGCAGGACCCAGGGCGATGTGCAGGGGGCGGGTCCTGCTGCAAAGCCCAAGCATCCTCAGGCCCGCCCTGCCCTCTGCTTCGCTCCCTCCCTGTCTGGCTTCCACCAGGGGCTTGGAGAGGGCAGGGGCAAGTTCTGGGCAGTTCCCTGGGAGGGGGCAGGACTCCCAGGGCTGTTGCCATGGGGATGGTGGAGCAACACCATGGCTGGAGAATAAACAGACAAGTTCTCCGACTAGTGACTGCTGTGAAGACAGCTCAGAAAACCCAGCTTGGAGAGGACGGGGCGGTGGCGGGGGGGGGTGCTGCCTCGGGGGCAGGTGGTGAAGGCCCTGGCAAGGGGGGCGCCCAGGGGATACTGGGAAGGGAGATGCAGAAGGATATTTGCTATCCCTCCTGTCTTTCCCGAAGCTCCTTCCAGGCTACACCTCCCAGGAGCAAACCCGAGGGAGGCAGGTCCCTGCTCTCTCCCCTGCTCTCTCGGTAGCATCCGAGCACCTGGCATGGGGCTGGGTCCCCTTCCAGCTCCTCTGCCCTCCTGAAGCCACACAGTGGGAGTGGAGGGCAGGGAGAGGACTGGCTGAGCACCTGCTGCGGGGGGCAGTGCCAGGACCTTGTGGGGGCCCTGCCAGCCACACGGCTCACCAAATTGAGCCCGTCCTTCAAAGGTCTAGGGGATGGGGGCAGCATGTGTTGGAGGGCTGCTCGTTCTTTCCAGGCTCCCTCTGTCACGAGCCTTGCCGTGTCTCTCCGGCAGGCTCCTGACAACTCACACGTGGCTGGGGGTGAATTTCCAGCATGACCAGCATGCATTAGCCAGTGCAGAGCCTTGACCACCCATTTCCTAACCTGTCTTGTCCACCAGCTTAGCTAGGGACCACATTCAGTTCATCATGGTACTCTAAGGCTCCCTATCCCCTCCACCCTCTCAGACACTGACCCTGGACACTGGGTGCCCTGGTCAAAGAGAGCTGATGAGGCCATAGCCTGGGTCCCCACCTGGTCCCGGAGCCACTTCCAGGGTGGAGCTGCCCTCACAGAGACCCCCTGTTTACAGATGATGAAGGGCCAGCTGATTGTCAGGTAGCAGATACCTCCTAGGGTCTGTGCCAAGCCTCAAGGGTGAGGTGCAGTGCACATCATCCACATGGATGTCCAGCAGACCCAAGCAAGAGAGGAGGCTTAGCGACCCAGCCTGGCATCTGCCCACTGTGAGTCCAATCCTGGTAGCACCTTAGCCAATGCTGGGCACTGATGAATGTGGGGTTCCTGGGGCCACGCAGCTAGTATGTCCCCCATAGAGCAGATGCCCTGAGGCGGCTCCTGGGAGTCTAGTTACATCATCTCCCTTTTTCTCCCAGCTCTGTTGAGAGGCCACAGTTGCTGCTGTTGGTTCTTTTCTTTCTTTCTTTTTTTTAAATAGTAAAGAGGGTTACTAGCTCACAGAACAATAACCAGCTAGAGATAGGGTGGACTTCAGGTAAGGCTTGATCAGGGATCTCCAGGACTGCTCTTGGTTCTGCCTTTTTGGTGTTATCAGATTCATCACCAGGCTCCTTGCCCTTCTGTTGGTTCTTGGAGCAGAAAAGATGGGAGTCTGTCTTCAATCACTGGCAAGACTGCAGGGGTCAGGTAATCTTGATGCAGGGTAGGGGAACAGGGGAGAGGGTCCCAGGGCCCTAGGGACTTACTCCAGAACCCAGCAAGCCTTTCTATCAAGGCCAAAAGCCCTAGGCTGGGATGCTGAGACAAAGGCTTTGTTCTTGTGGGCTCAGCAATGACTGAGCACCACTGTATGCTCTGACTGAGGCAGACTTTACAGCTCTCCATTCCTGCATGGACAGTGGGTGTGGCATCTTACGAGGTTGTTCTCTTTGGAGAGTGTCTGGGGGGACTGAGACACCTTGGGAAAGACAGGGGCTCTTTCTGGGAGGGGAGGGCAGGCGTCAGGGGTCTGGTCCTACTGCGTTTGGCAGCCCTCCCCAGTTTCCCTGGCCTCTTCCCCACCCTGGACTACAACAGTGTTCTAGGCAGGCAGGTGGGGGACTCCCGCAGAGAGCGCCCTCTGTCCTCTCAAAGGGAGGAGGCAGGTGACCGCTAGACCCTCCGGCCCTCCGGGAGGCCTAAAGGCAGCCGCTTCTCAGGGCAGCTGTGTCCAACCTTCACTTCCTGGCTGAGGAAGTGTGGGCCTGTTGTTCCAGCCCAGGGGGATGTGACTGAGAGGGTCCTCCAAAGAAAGGCTTGGGAGGGGGCTTCTGGGCCGGCAAGGCCAGACCAGGCAGCGGGAAGGGAGTGGGCTGAGGGTGTCTGCACAGCCATTTCCAGGCGCCGGCTCGAAGTGAGGGAGTGTCCGAGCCTTTCATCGCTGGCTGCCAGACCGCGGCTCGCCCTTGTTCACTCAAGGAGAATTTCCCCCGCTGCCTGCCCTCCCGCTGCAGCCCAGTGAATGCCTCCTTACACATCCTGAGAAAGCATCCATAATGGTCCGCCGCCTCCCACCTCCCGAGGAATTCCGCGGCGCTCGGCCCGCAGGGAGGCAGGGCGCAGACGGCCCGCGGAGCCTCGCCATTGGATGGGCTGGTCGTGCTCGACTCCTCTGCGCGGCTGGCTAGCCGCAGGCTCACCTCCCTTCCCACCGCCGCGCCCGCGAGAGGAAGCGAGGCGGCCTTTGCCCCGCACCGGCTACAGCCAGGAATGTGGGGCCACGCTCCCCATTCAGCTGGCCCGAGTGCTCGAGGACAGCGGGGGCGAGAAGGGACGTGCAGGGCCCATCCCGGGCAACTCGGCTCCAGACCGTTTCAGGGGGTGTGGGGCAAGGCCCAGGCAGCTACTTTCCCGCCCCTTCGCGGGGGCTGCACCCGCACGGGACAGACGACGCGGCGGGAAGAACCCACGCGCGCAGTCGCGGGCGCTCCTAAGTTGACCGAAACCAAAGACCCAGGGGCAGGCACTGTCACGCGCGCCCCGCGCCCCCGGGTGCGCCCCTCCCTGGGCGCGCCGAGGTCCCCGACGGCGCGAGCGCGCAGCGCCCCGGCCCTCTTCAGCCCCGCGCCCAGCACAGCCGCGACAGCGCTTTTCCGCCGCACAGCGCGAGGTCCGCACAGCCGCCCGAGCAGGTGGGGAAGTCTCGAAGTTTGCGAGACGCGCGCGGCGAGACTGCGCATCGGGTCGTGGGGACAGCCTGTGGCCCGCGGACCCCCGCGCCCCCGAGGAACAGGCGCGTGGGCAACGCCGGGGTGCGCAGTAGAGGAAGGGGCTGAGGTGCCCTCGCCCCGAGCCTCATCTCGCGTAGGGGTGTTCTGCCCGCCTCTCGGCGCCCCCGCGGGAACCCGCACCGGTGCTCAGAGACCCCCACACCGCGCCGCCCCCGCCCCCCGCCAACCCAGGGGAGGGGGCTTCCCACAATGCCCAGCGAGCTCCAGCCCGCACTTCCGCTGTCCGGCCGCCCACGGGGGGGGGCGGAGGAACCGACCCCCGCCGCGGCCCCCTCCCGCCCCGCGGCGCCGAGCCCGTGGCCCAGCGAGGGGCGGGGCCGGCGGCCGGGCCGGCGGGGGCGGGGCCCGGGGCGGTGGCCGCGGCCCGGGCGCTGCGCGGGCCAATCAGCAGCGGCCGGGCGCGCGCCGGGGGGCGGGGTCAGGGTCCGCAGGCGGGGCGCGCGCGCGGGCGGCGGGGGCCGCGGGGTTGGAGCGGGCGCGGGGGCGCGCGCCGGCCTGACGGACGGACGGACGGACAGACGGACGGAGCAGCCGAGGCGAGCGCGCAGCTCGGACCCGCCCGGACGCAGCGCTCGCCCGGCGGCGGCGGCGATCACCGGCGCCGGTCCGGCGGCCGCGGCGCCCGCCCTCGCCCGCGCCCCATGGGGTCACAGGTAAGCGGCGCCGGCTCATTGTCCGCGCGGCCGGGCAAGCGCATCGCGGCCGGGCCCGGCCCGGGCCGCTCCGAGCCTGGGCAGCTCCGAGCCGGGGCGCGCCCCCGCCGCCTGCAGCCCCGCGCCCCACTGCGCCCCGCCCCGCGGGGGCGCCCTCCTGGCGGCGATCGGCGCGCCCCGGCTGCGACTCCGGGGGCGGCGGTGGCGACCCGGCCCGGCCCCCGCCGATCCCCGAGCCCGAGTGGCTCGGGGCGGGGCGGGCGGGGGCGGCGCAGGGTCCCCGCGGGGCTGCGCGCGGAGGCGGTGGCGGCGGCGGGGCTGCCCGGCGCCCCTCGCCCTCCGCGCCTCCTGCCGCCGCCGCGCTCCCTCCCCCGTCACCTCCGAAAGGGGAATTTTCCAGCTGGTAATTTCTGCTGCGTCAACGCCCGGCCCCAGGAGGCAGCCCAGGGGCGTCCTGGCGCCCCCCGCCCGCGCCGTCCCGCGCGCCCCCGGCCCGCGCCTCCGAGCCGCACCCGGACCCGCCCGCGCCGAGTTTGCCAAGAGTCGGAACTGCGGGAGGTGGGCGCGGGCGGGTCCCCGCGCCCCACCAGGCCTTGGGGGTCATTGTCTCCCCCTGACGCCGGGCACCGGTCTCGTCTCCATTTTAATTGCTGGATAAACCAGGGCGCAGGGGCCTCGGGGCCGGGCGGCCAGAGGAGCGCGGAGGGGACGGGGCGCGCGGAGCGGACGGGGCGCGCGGAGGGAGCCGGGTCCGCCGCGAGCCGTGTCTTTGTTTCTCCGTAAATAGACATGTCAGTTTCACAGGGTAGCACGAGTCACTGTCTGACAAATCAATCCGATGGCAAATGGGGAATTTTCTACGCCAGGAGGAGGGCTGTGGCCAGTTGGGGTACCCCCGGCCCCGCTAACAAATTTATTATTTGTAGGTTTAACGGACCACGCACAATAGGGCTGGACCGAGGAGCCTGGGTACAAACCAAAAGGGGTGAAGAACAGATATTTTCTGACGCCGAGGAAATATAAACAAAAGAAAGTTTGACTGAGATTCTCAGCGAATTTCCTCACGCTTTCCGTGCTACAATCTCAGCGGCGCATTTGTCGAGGATTACAGTGGCAAGATTGTTACCCGCATTGTTTAAAGAAATGCTAATTAGGCAACGCGTTTTGCAAACTGCTGGGCGCGGACACCTGTGCACGGAGTGCTCACGCGCATTTTAATTGTGTCAGTTGTAGAATCTTTCATATTGGATTTATTATCAAAGCTAACTTTCCGTTTGGGTAACAGACTTGTGGATTCACTCTATGGCTGGCCCCGCACGCTGCAAGAATGGAAAATGGTTCGTTCATCAAAAGGAAATTTAGAGAAGGGTTTTTCACATGAATAATGAAGTAAACAGTAGTATTTTACCATACTAGAATCTTCCTCTTGGTTTATTTTGTGATAGTTTTACATATTTTGAACTGAAAACTTTGGGATGCCTTGTTATTCCAGAAAGGATTAATAGGTCTACCTAGGCAGAAGTTACTGAGATTTAAGCCCTGGGTCCCCTATAAAGCTAGTGATCATCTTCATCTCCTTTACTGAAGGAAGGAGGGGATGGTTATTGAGTTTTCTTTAGGAGATGGTGGAATGTACTCACTTTAGGCTATTCAGAAGCCCCAAATTCAGCCTTTCCTGGAGGGCAGCCTTGGGACAACATTTAATTGAGCCTCTCATTGACATCATCCTGGATGTAAGAATTTTGTTTTGATGAAATAATTTCTGCTCAGGGTTAGCTGTTTTCTGTTTGAAAATGCGTTGTTTCTGTGCTCAGAGCTCAGTGTGCATCGACTCTCCCGTGTTCAGGACTGGCTGGTTGTTGCCTGCAGGGGCACCCATCCTCTTTGATGCTTTGTCCCCACTCAGTTATCCAGGGCGGTCCCTTGGACCCTTGCACCCGTGACACCTGTGTTCCACAGGCACACAGCACAGAGAGGGTGGGGTGAACTCCTGGAAAGGGCAAGACCACTCCGGGATTGGAGGAAATCCTCAAGCCTGAGGTCCCTTCGCTGTCAGAAGGGGTGTTATTTACGAACATGTTACACAAAATTAAGTTTTAACAGAGTGAACTTTCCAACATTGTCCTTATGTGGGGCTTTTCAAATTAAGAGAAATTGGGCCACTCTGTCCCTGTGGTCTGTGTTTCTGGGACAGCTGTTCAGCATTTCTGCTTTGTTCTCTACCAGAGGTCTTAGACCAGCCTCTAAGCGCCAAGGAGACCCATTTAGTGCACGGTGTTTAGAAAGTGCCACAGCCCGGGAACCTGAGCTAATTCCTCACTGTGCCCAGGTGCCTTCTTGGCTAGTCTGTCAAAGTTCTAGAAGCTGCTGCTCCTCCTTGTCCTACCTTGCACCCCATGTCACAGCACCTGCCACCGCACTCCCCTGCTCTGGAGGTTTCATATTCCTCCGTGACTCACGGTCTCATAAATATATAGGCTTTTTCTTCCTTCTGACCTAACATATTTTACCTTAAAGTCTGTTGAGTGATGGCACATTGTCAAGAATTCCCCTGTGTGTCTGCCCCTTCCCCTGAAAAAGGAGATCCTTCTTGTTGGTACCAGTTGGCTTTAATGGCATGAGTGCTAGGAATAAGTGGATGATTAAAAATCTCTATTGAGGCCACAAGATTGATTTAAGTGTTTGAAACACTGTCTCATCCTGATCATGGTTCTGATGTCCTCTGCCCCCACCTCTGGCTGTGGCATGGCTGGGGTCTCACACCACGAGGTCAGGGAAGGTTTTCCCTCTTTTCTGCCATTCCAGCCTAAATACTTTGTGTACCTTATGTATGCACACTTAGGCTCTGTGTTCTGATTTGTTAGTGAGGGCACAATACGGCCTGTGATATTACTTGTAGATGAAAAAGTTGTGGAAAAGAGAAATAACCTTTCCTTGCAAACTAAAAAGTTGTGTGTTGAAGGATAAAAGGAGCTAGGCTGGTCAAATTCAACCTTAGTGTGATTTACACAAAGTTTTCTGTTCAATTTCTTTTCTTTTTTTTTTTTTTTTCTGTTCAATTTCTTTCTTTCTTTTTTTAAAGATTTTATTTACTTATTTGACAGAGAGAGACACAGTGAGAGAGGGAACACAAGCAGGGGGAGTGGGAGAGGGAGGAGCAGGGAGCCCGATGTGGGGCTCGATCTCAGGACATGACCTGAGCCGAAGGCAGACGCTTAACGACTGAGCTACCCAGGAGCCCCTTTTCTGTTCAATTTCTTACCAACAATGCTATTACGTCGTTTTCAGATTGAAAAATTACTAAGTATTTTTTAACATCATTTGGACTCAAAAATTGCTAACCTAGGTATTTTAGAATAGAAATCGAGAAATACTGTTCACATATTTTTCAACAGCATTTACAGAGCTTTTGTGTCTCGGCAGGTGTGTGTTTGAGTCACATCAGAGCGACGTTCCCAGGGCTTCTCACTCATGACAACTCGGGCATTGTCGAGGACCTGTGATGGGCCAGCCTTTAGGCCAGGTTGGGGACAGAGTTTCTGCAGGGAGTTGGGGGTCTGTTGGCACAAGTCGAGCCTTCCTCAGACACAAGAACCACTAACGTGACCCAGTGTAGGTGACACATGCTAGTGAAACACCCCCAGAGCTTGGAGGGGAGACGGAGTGCAAACCGTGGGGAAGGGAGCATCTGAATCCCCAAAGGCCACTGGAGGGAAAGGGCATCCGTGCAGACTCCTACCCCGTCGGGCACTGACCCTCTGGGTCCAGACCTTGTGGCGCAGATTCCATTGTGACCTCCGCTTTGCCGAGGGTGGATGGCTGGCGAGAGGGCAGGACTGCAGGGCCAGGTGGCTTCTGGGGCGGCTGGCAGCGATAGCAGTTTCAGACCCCACCTCCCATGGGGTGCACAGGCCACTCCGTGTCTTGGAGGGGCCGCGGGGAAGGGGTCCCTTGCCCCCATCACTACCTGCTCAGGTGGAGCAGGTATGTGCACCTCCTCCCCTGTTCTGTCAGCCGGGAGGTCTTTCCACTTGCCAGCAAAACTAAGAAGATCCACACGTGTGTGGGAATAACCGCTTTTTAGAACGGCCTCGTTTATAAAGAATCTGGACAGCCTTGCTACTCACGCGGTGCAATCTGCTGGCCCCTCACCGCAGCGGAAGCCGCCCCCGTGGCCGGCACAGGTGCATCCAAGGTCCCGTGTCATCCTTGTCTCTCTTTGTAGAGAGAAAGAAGGCACCTCTGCGTCTTGGGCCGCATCGGACGGTTTAAGAGCCTCAGTGTTAAGAGCTGCCTCCGTGAGGGATGGACGGGATGCACCACAGGGCGCTATGGCTGATGGGGCTTCGGCAGGTCACCTTCTTAGTCCGTGTGTGGGGGGGTCACCTGGCGAGTGCAGGGTCTGACCTGCGGTCTTCCCTCTGTCCCGCCTGAACGTTCAGTCCTGCTGTCACGCCTGAGGCACGGACAGCAGAGTGAGTGATGGCTCTCGGTTGGGCAGGTTCGGCGTTGACCTGCCTGCAGAGTTGGCCCTTGGTTTCCGGGGTGTCGAGGGCAGATGCAGACAGATGGGCTTTCTTAGAAACACACTCCCGTAATCCGCTCCCCGGCCCTCGCGGCAGAGGAACGGTGTGTGAAGGGAGCCGCACGTTCACGTAGCACCCAGAGCTACCTGGGCTGTGTGGGGAAAGCCCAGTGTGGTGGGGACTGGGCAGCTGAGTACAGCTATCATGGGGCCAGAGCGTAGTCGAAACAGCATTGTGAGGGTTGCCCAGAAGAGCCCGGGAGGAAGATGATGAGAGCCTTTGGGCACCTGTTGCGTTAGGTGGTACCGTGACCGCTGAACCGTAGTCTGTGGTCTTTTTGTCTTGTGTGGCCCTGTTTGAATCTGAAAACGGCCGATTTTCTTTTCTCATCCCATCCCACTTAAAGCAGTGAGGCTTCTGAGCAGCAGTATCCTTTTATTTACGAAGCTCAAAGTCAGCTTGGGAAATTTTGAGAGAAGCAGAATTACTCAGCTTCATTTTGAGGTGAAGAAGGCGCTCGCTGTGGAGGGTAGCAGTTTGCCCAGGACTTACAGGGCACGCAGGCCCTTCCGCATCGTGCAGACCCGCTGAGGGCCTGGCGGTGGTCCCGTGCCCCAGAGGGAACCTGCCCAGACCTTGTGGAGTCAGATGCTCCCCTCCTCGCGTGCGGTCATCACCTGGGGAGGGGGATGGGGCCCTTGGGCCTGAGCAGGTGCAGCGTCTGCCGGTCCCCTCCCTCGTGTTTCTCCATGGGTGTGCGGGGAGGTTGGCACCGCTGGGCGTTTCCCAAACAGCAGCGGGTGGTGTCATATCATGGTTCGTGTTTGGGTCCAGGCGCTGGCGCATAGGAAGCCGCCTGTCTGTTGTGGGGCTGAGCCAGGGAAGTCCCAGGGATGACAATGTGAAGGCCTTCTGCATTCTTCTCTTGGGGAGCTCCTCGGTGCGTGGCCCGGGTGCAGGCGTGGGCGCAGGGAGGCTCCCGCAGCCTTCCACGACCCCTCCCATGTGGCGTGCCCCACGGACAGGCTGAGGCCCCCCTCGCAGAGGCTCGGCTTGTTGCCCGCATTCAGCGCCTCATTTTCCCGTTTCGTTTCGTGTGTCTCTCAGTCCTGCTCGGTCAGCACTTCCTCCCTCCACTTCTGAAACGTTAAAGGTGGGAGTTTCCCTGTACAAAGCTTCTGAGATGAGAGAAAGTTGAGGATGTGAGGTCTTGCAGACCGGGTCCTCACAGCTGGTGAATGCTTGGGACCGGCCGCAGAGTCTTATGTTCTGAACATTTTTAGTAACATCGCAAAGTGCCTGTCCTGTGATTTGGAGTGACTATTACTGGCCGTGTGACCGTCTGTAATTTTTTACTTCTGAAGAGAAACTGAAGGAGTCAGGACATTTATTTTTTAAAAGATTTTATTTATGTATTCAAGAGAGAGACAGAGCATGAGCAGGAGAGGAGGAGAGGGAGAGGGAGGGAATCTCCAGCAGACTCCCCGCTGAGCACGGAGCCGCTGAGATGACATGGGGCGTGATCTCACGACCCTGAGATCACGGCCTGAGCCAAAACCAAGAGTCAGACGCTCAACCGATTGCACCAGCCAGGCGTCCCAAGGAGTCAGGACATTTAGGAGCACACGGGCACTTCCTAGACAAAAGCTAAGGCTCTTGTTGAGTGAGGGGAACATTTTTGAGTCATCTCACTCCGTGCACTTCGGTAATTCTGTTCGGCATTGCATTACTGAGGTGCACCTGCTCGTCGTAGCTTGCCATTCTATCTTTGCTTCTGGTTATACACGGGTAACTGCCTAAGTGGAAGCTTA